AAATTAGTGAAATTGCTATTAGGTGTTCTTATTCCTAAATAATATTGAAATTAGCCCCTTATTTTATTGAAATTAATAAAAGTTTCCCAAATTCTCAGTAGTTGTTTCAAATCAATCCCTCAAATTAAGAGCAGAAGTAGCATTTTGAGGGGTTATTTAAATCACCTTACGAAAATTGGTGGCCTAATAACGATTTCAATAATGTGAATGTTTAATTTTAATAATTGGGGTACCTAATAACAGTTTTTGTGATCATTATCAAAATCAATTCTAAACAACGACAGACAACCAACTCAAAGAAAGAGAAACCTTATGGCTAGCCTCAGGGAAGGAAGAGAGATTTAACCAGAAAATATTGACTGATGTATAATGTATAGGGTGCCAGAAGTGGTGATAACAAATTTGACGACTACATTAAGGAACATTGGACTAAGCAGTCTAATGTAACTAATCAAATGAATGTTGTTTGAGAACCTTACAATATGATATCAATTTAATGGGGATCGGCCTAAGCAAAAAAACAAACAAATTCCACTTTTCATGTCCCCAAAAATGGTCTGGGCAATAGCCACGCTACATATAGAATAAACCATAGCTTTCTTCAGAAGAACAATAATTACTAACCAAAACATCATACTAAAATTGCAGTTAGCAGCAGTTTAATGATGCCTTTACAACACATGTTGCAATAATTCCAAAGAAATTTGCAAAGAGATGCACAAAATACACATCAAACATAAATTCAATAGTCCAAATAAGTGTGCTAAAGAAAATAGAAAAAATACCTCAAAGCATAGAATGCAATCACAAAAGACATGTAAAGACTCTGCAATTGTTCTAAATTGCCAATATTATTAATAATACATGTACTCCACAGAAGCTCAGAGAAAAATCATAGCATGCCATTACTGGAATTCAACAACCATCAACTCATTGTTATGCAATTAAAAATAGATCAAAAGCGGACAAGAACAAAGCATCAAAGAAACTAAACCATTAAAGCAGGCGTGTGAAAATTACCAGCTTACTATTGGCAGGATGGTTAAATTTGCAAGTCATTCCAAACCTGCAAAGGCCAGTTATAACAAAATAAACACAATTTGGCTCCCTTGGACGCTCAGGATAAGGTCCATCATCCATTTCCTCCCTGCCTCTTATATTCATTAGCCATATCACCTCTGTAACACAACCACAATTATCTCAGCTAGATTTCATTCACTTCCATGAAAACTCAGCAATAATTTGAAATATGATGAATAAAAATACCAGAAAATTTTCCACAACATGATTAATGAGTAACCAAAGAAATTATTTGATTACAAGACAATGATGTTAATTTCAAAGGCAGAATGAAACAGTATAAAGGAGAAGAAGATGATGTTCACTGACCCCCATGATCACAATTGTAATCCCTGCAAAAGTTCGGAATACTATTATACAAACACATACACCTAAGGTGATTTAAGATAATTTACTAATCTAGTTGCTCAAAGAAAAGAAATCTGAGAATTTAGGTATCAAGAATCTAATCTATGAGAACTAAAATCTTTCAAACCAAATTAAATAAAATTATTGGGGAATTTGAGAAGAAGAGCACCTTCAAGGCTTCAACTTTAAGATCAGCAGCCATAGAGATACGTGCGAAGATTGAAAAGGAAAAAAAGTGATCTTTATGAACTCAGTTAGTGATCAAAGAGACGGGGCGGGAGACGGGCAGGGTGCAGCGGTGCACGGTGTTTGAGGACTTCCTGGTGGCGGCTAACGCGCGTCGAGGGGACGCATATCCGGTAGACAGCGTAGAAGCGCGTGACGGTGGCGGCCGCCGTGCCAGTTCGGATGAGTGATGACGTGTGGCGCGGACATTGATAAGCGCGAGGGTGGCTGATGGCTGGTTGGGGGTGTAGTATGGTCGAGACTGAAGAGGGTCTTGCAGGGGCGGCCGATGGAGGAGAGGAGCGGGAGGAGGGAGAGGATGAGGAGAACGGAGACGAAGAGGCGGTATCAAATGCAATTAATTGATTGAATGCATCGTTTAAAGGATCAAATTGAATGCTAATTGATTGAATGCTTTGAAAACGAAGCATCAAATTGAATGCATCGTTTAAAGAAATAGTGTTAGCTGGGAGCTTTGGAAATGAATGCTTGTAATTTTAAAAAAGAAAAATTCTTTAAGGACCCAAAATATGGGACCAATAGGGGGGACAAGTGAGGTGTCCCCCTCTTATTAGATAATGAGTTGGTCATCATTAATGATGGCCAACTTATTATCCAATAGGAGGGGGACACCTCACTTGTCCCCTTTATTGGTCCCATATTTTGGGTCCATGTAGCAAAGCTCTTTAAAAAAAATATCAATTAATTGCAGAAGAATATAGATGCTTGGAAATTAATTCAATTAATGTGCTTGGAAATTGCGGAAGTAGATGGGAGCATTAATTGCAGAAGTAGATAGGAGCAATGACTGTGATTTTTTTAAGGAATTTTTTTTAAAAAAGCAGAATTTGCCACGTGTCATTTTTGCCAAGTGGCGTTTTGAAGGGTAATAATTTTTAATAAGGGGCTGTTTGGTTATTTCCTAAAAAACCAAAAAATAAAAATGCAAACCAAGAAAACTCAAAAAGTACAATTTCACATATTTCCATCCCTAAAACTCACCCACAACAAAAAGTACAATTTCACATATTTCCATCCCTAAAACTCACCCACAACATCTAATAAAATATTATTTTTATTCAACAACTCATCCATCACATCTAATAAAATATTATTTTTATCCAACAACTCATCCATCACATCCACCACATCTAATAAAATATTATTTTTATCCACAACATCACTCAACCCATCTCATCTCATATTTAAAAATTACTCACATCATCCAATAAGATTGTGACACCTCATTTCATCTCATTAACATTTCATTTCTTTGTTTTTCTCCCAAAAAGCTAGGAAAATAATTTCCTTAAGTGTGGGTCACATCATCCAATAATATAATGACAACTCATCTTATCTCATATATTTTCTTATTTTTAAGAAATAACCAAGCAAAAGAAAACAACCTATTACAAGAAATAGGTTTCTTATAATTTATTTTATTATTTTTTTCGCCAACCAAACAACATCAAAACAAGTTTTCTTAAAAAACCACTCACATCATCCTATAATAAAGTGACAACTCATCTTCATTTTTTTGATCTTCTTCTTTTTTTAGCAAACCAAACACTCCCAAAACAATTCTTTGATTTAATAGTTTTCCATTTCTTTGATTTTTAATTTTTTTTAGGCAAACAAACAGGCCCTAATAGTATATAGATTGTATGATCAGTACGGACATAATTTTGTAATATTAGCATCATGTGACTAATGTGCAATCATTAATAGCCTTAGATTTGTTTCTTGTTTCTTTGGGAAGTCACATTTGTTTTGGTTTGCAAGGAGGAAAACCCAAAAAGAAAAGGATGTTGATGTATTTTCTTAATTGTATCAGGCAGATTCATTGGGGAGGAACATATATAATTCAGTGTTCAGATGAGGGGATTTATCACTGTAAGTAATTTTGGTTCTTTAGATTTTTTTTCCTCATGTTAATGTAGGATCAAAGTTTAATATGATAGGGGCGACTTGAGACTCTTTTTGCTGGATTAACATCCAAGTCTTTGTCCAAAATATGGCAAAGACTCTTTTTTGGATTATACTTGCCCACATCCTTGAGGCCTCTATTTAAAAAAAAAACATTTTGAATAATATTTTGCTATTATCAGGTTTAAAGAATTATGCTCGATTTTGGATCTTGGGAGACAAATAAAGGCAGACAAAGTTGCTATACTTAGTGATGCCACTCGCCGTTGAATCGTTTGACCCAGTTACTCCTTGAAGCACAGAAGCTTAAAGAATCAAACAAAACACTTCACTCCACAGCACCATAACAACTCTGAAGGTAGAAGATCATTATCGTTGTTTTCTGTCGCATGATTTTCTAGGTTGTATGTTCTCGATGTATGGATTATTTGTATTGACATTATTCAAATCATCGATGTGGATAATTTGTAAACTGAAAAAATATTATATATTTGGATTTATTGCGATATTTTGGTGTATGTAGATTATATGCGTTGCCGCAATGTGTATACAATTGCTAGTTGTGGTGTATATGAATTCATGTATTTATAAAATTTATATATTTATATATTTGGATATGCCCATGAGGTGAAGTAGATATTTTATATGCACAAGAGATAACTTATATACACAGGAGATGAACTTGTCTTTGGTGTGCTTCCAGGAAATATACGGGACTGGTAGTCCCATGGATTTTGTTTCTGCGCCAACGTAATGTCCCGTGTGTTTCCAGGAAATAACTCACATATTGGCGATGCAATTCCATGATGACAATGCTTATTATGTAGGGTCATTACGATAATTGCAGCCTGTTATAAATTTCATAGCGAGGTAGATAATGAAGAAAATGGCCTTTTCTGAGATTTTTTTTTAAAAATTGCAAACTAGTACCTCAAAATTTTAAATTTTTTAATGTGACGGTTGATATATGTTCACCTCTCAATTTATGTTGGAAATAAATTTATCCTATAAGGGTGGTAAGCACACCATGGTGACTATAGTCATGATTTCTTTTTTTTTTTCCATTTGAACCAAACACTAGAAAATGAGGGAATCTATTCACACATCAATTGTTTTCTTTTTTTTTTCAAGTTGAACCAAACTAAAAAAAGTGGTGGAAAGTACTTTCACCCCATATTTTTTTGGCGAAACAAATACAAGAAACACTTTCCATAAAAGTAAAGGAAACAAAAAAAAGTGAAGGGAAATTATTTTTAGAAAATGAAGTAAAGCAACCAAACAGGTCCTAACTCTACAAATAATATAGATTTGAGGGGTACGTCGTACAAGACCACTCAGGCGGGGATATATTGGTAAATAGGCAATGATCGAGGTAACTCTGAAAGTAATATAGTTTCGAGGGGTATATGGTAAAAGGCCACTCATCTCCGCTTACGGCCGAGGAAAGTGAAATAGGGAAAAAGGAAAGGGGGGAAAATCGAGAAGAGGAAAAAAGATCGCAGCTGCCATGGGTGACGGTCGGAGCTCCGGTGGCGGCAGCAATCGTCCGGCGTGGCTGCAGCAGTACGATCTCATCGGCAAGATCGGCGAGGGGACGTACGGCCTCGTATTCCTCGCCCGCACCAAGCAGCGCAAGTGCTGCATCGCCATCAAGAAGTTCAAGCAGTCCAAGGACGGCGACGGCGTCTCTCCCACCGCCATTCGTGAGATCATGGTATCTATGCAGAAAAACCCCTATATTTTATTGATTTTCGACACGACGACGGTTCCCCTAACCCTAACCAAACAATTTCTTCTAAATTCGAAGTAGTAAAGGGGGAAACGTCAATTTTGAGTTTAGCTGACAGTTTATAATGATTTTCAGTATGCTGATGGTTTCCCAAACCCTAACTAACATAATATACCATCTGATTGTAGTTTTGGTAGTTTTCAGTTTCAAAGCTTGCCAATGTAATTGGTAATTCATCCTCAAAGGTGTGAATTTTTGAAGAATTTCACTATTCTAGGCTACTTAAGTAGCTACTTATAGATTTGAACTATATGAACTTCTTAACCCCCATTCATTTGAAATATCTTCTTTGTTCTTGATTAAATCCTAATCTTTTAATATTTCGAAGAGTCCTGTAATGCTAGACTACGTAGAATCAAATCAGAAGCTAACTGAAAATGTTTGACCATTAGTGAGTAAGGAATCTGAAAAACTCAAATTTGTTTGTAGCTACTTTGCAGTTGCGAGTACTTAGTAGGTTGTTTTCAACTTTCCCAATGTACTCTGTGATACACATCCCAAAATATTTCTATTTTTCTGAAGTTTTGCTCAAATTCTAGGTTCCTTAAATATCGGATGTGAGCTTTTGAACATTGTCTTCATCCGAAAACTAATCCTTTGTTCTTGATTAATCTGCAAATATCTTCAACATTTTGAAGGTTCCTCTAACTCTAGGTTAGGTACTATTAAGGCATACACCAACTCAAAATGCTCGATCACGTGGAATAAGGAATTAGATCACATGGGATAAGGAATCAGAGTAAGTCAATTTTCATTGTAACTATAGCTAATAAGCTTTATTAATTGAATTTCAAGAGTGTTCAATCAATAATTGTTTTCATAAACTGGTTTTCACTATTGCCAATGTAATTTGTAGAATATCCTAGAAAAATGGGAACTTTTGAAGTTTTTATCTTATTTGCGTCTGCTCAACAACGATAAGCATGCTTCATATTGAAAGAAATAAGATACACATTCTGACTTCTAGATTTTGTACACTGATATTGCACATCATTCATGCCTCATGTTAAGAAATCTAAGCTCGTTCTATTTTTGGATGTTGTTTGATTCTTAGATTGGGTTAATTATTATGAGCATGTTAGATCTTAAATAGCGCTAGTGATTGAGGGTCTGAAATTAAGCATGCGAACTAGTTTCTTTGCTCGCATTACCTTTATGCGGAAATGTTTGCTAATTGCTAGGTGATATCTTGTTTACTTATGTGGAAACATTACTTGCATAATAAAATTAAATTAATTGATGGTAAGATTGCTCTCTGTTTGGATCCAGGAATTTTTTTGCATGACATCTTTGAAAGGTTCAAATAGCATGAATAAGTAAGAAAATGACTGACACCATACAAGGAATTCATATCTTTGGGAGTTGAGAACCAAGTTATCAGATTGTAAGTCACTTGGCATAGTGGGCACATCCTACTGGTATGAGCGCTATTATGTTGCAACTTCCCCTTTGTATGTTACTAGAGATCTTGCCAGTGATACACATTGTATTTTATATATTAATGTTATAGTTCAAAAGGTCAATGCAATCCATTATCTCACGAGATAAAGTTTCATGATGGATCAAGTTTTAGTGGAAAAAAATAACTCTATTGTAGATTTTTTTTGGGGGGGGGGGTGTTATTCATTGGGACATTTGGGAGGATAATGAGATATTTTGGGGATTCTATTTCATGGTGTTATTCATTGGGGGCATTTCAGAGGATAATGAGATATTTTGAGGACTCTATTTCATGGTGTTATTCATTGGGACAATGGAACAAGAATACTACCTTTTAGGGGGGGTATTTATTGGGACATTTGGGAGGATAATGAGATATTTTTGTGGTTTCTATTTCATGGTGTTAGTCATTGGGACAATGGAACAATGATATTAGCTTTTAGTGTTATTGGTTTATTGGAACACTAGTGGGATAATTTCACCACTTGGGATAAATTAACCCACTCATATCCAAATATTTTGTCCCAATAGTAAAAATTTGCACCATCCTCCATAGTGCAACAATTATGTTCGACTTTGAAGGTAATTGAGATAATTTTGAAACCTTTTTGTATCACTTGACTAATACATGCTAATTATATTATAAATATATAACATGATATGTAAAATATAAAGTGATAATATATTCAATATATTATATTATATTATCATGAAATAGAATAAAATATTATTAGAATAAAATATTATTAGAATAAAATATTATTAAATATTATTAGAATAAAATATTATTATAGCTTAATGTATATGTATAATTTATTTTGTTATATTTATTATATATTATTATGCAATATTACATATTATATTATATAATAGTACAACATATTTATTATAATATTATGTAATAATATATTATATTAAATATACAGTTAATATTTTATTATAGCAATTATATTATAGTGTATTATATTAAACCAACATAATAATATAATATAACATATTAAAATGAATAAAAAATATTAGTATATTACATTTAATTATAAAATATAATATAATATAAATCATGTCATGTGATTATATTATATTAATATAATAAATATATTATTGTACTATAATATAATATATTTTAGATATTTTGTATATATCATAGTAATTATCATATATATATTATACTAATATTTAAATTTTAATTACAATATAGTATTTTAAATAATATTATATTGATAAAAATATTATAATATCATATGCAGTAATTATAACCTATGATATAGTCTGATATATTAAATTAATATTATATTATTAAGTATTATATTAAATTTTGTTCGTATATTTTATCTATTATTTATATATACATACTTTTATAATATATATAATAATTACTAATATTAATAAAATATTATGATATAATATAATATAGTTTGAAATAATATAATATATTATATTATGCTATTACATGATAACTTTTAATATATATTATTGTAATTATCATATGATATACATTGTTATTTTAACCATAGTATAATATTTTAAAAATATACATTGAATTAAAATAAAATATTATAATATTTTATACAGTACATTTTATCTATGGATATTTCTAATATATTAAATTAAATATTATATTATTAAAATATTATATTAAATATATTGTTCATATATTATATCAATTATTATATAATGTAGCATACTAATGTAATGTATTGTAATATAATTATTAATAATATTAATTAGTAATTATAGTATAGCATATTATATTTTAGTATAACTAAAATACCGTATTATATTATTCAAATATTATATTAAATATACTATTCTTATATTATATTAGTTATTATATAATATATCATAATAATATAATTTAATATAGTATAATAATTAATAATATTAATTAAGAATTATAGTTTAACATTATATTTTAGTATAAAGTAATAATGTATTATATTATAATAACATGCTGAATAATATACTAAACCTATTGGATAAATTAATTTAGAAGTAATTGATAGATAAAATTATATTTTAATAAGGTGCCACATCATTAATTATCCCACGTGAATTGTCAAATTAAAGGTTTAAATTGTACAATTATCCTAACTTATCCCACTTTATACAACTCAAAATATTCCAAAGGGATAAAATTGTTCCGTTGGAACAATTATCCCACCTGGCCGCAACTTGTTCCAACCAATAACCCTCCCTTTAGAGAAAAAAAGTATTTGGTGTTAATGATCATGAGTGACTTATATTGTCCGTCTCAGTCTTCGTGTTCATATTGTATCGATAATAGTTAATCTACACATAAGATAGAATGGTTTGCATTAGAGATAGGCTAGTGACTATATTTAAAAAAAGCTCCCCATTAGCTATTCTAGGCTTCCGCCTAGGCCTAGGTGGTACCTCGGCCACCTAGGCTCCATCCGCCTAGGTCCTGAGGTCGCCCAGGGGAGCAGGGACCGCTTACCTTGACTGCACTGCTAGCTCTTTATCATAAATTTTTTTTATTGTTGCTTTAACATCCTCTGACTTCATCCGAACTGCTCCGGCCTATTCCACTAACTACAAACACTTCCTCCAACTCCTCCGACTTTTTTAACAAACCACCTCTGCCACCACTTAAACAAAAGAGAAATCCTCTTAGGCGCTAGGCGCTAGTTTGGCACCTAGCGAGGCTTTTGTTAATATTGATTGTAATTAAAAAAAGTAAAAAAATAAAAAAGCCTAGGCGCTACCATTTATGCCTCCACCATGACCTCCTCCCGTCCCATCACCAAATCCCCCACTACTTCTTGACCCATCTGCATGACTAATCTAACCACCATTACCTCCTGCGACCAATGTGGGACTAAAACATAGCTTCATTAATCAGTGTACTCCATATATTTTCTAAACATTAGCCACTGAAAGAAAGAGTGGGTTTGACGTATTGAACTTGAACAAGTCAAGACCTTGTATAACATAGTTGGAGGGATTTGGGGTGTCTTCAGGAGCAGAGATGACTTTGATGAGGATTGAGAAGTCTAAAGGGCATGAGATGAGAGATTTGAGGCGAGTTGAGAAAAGGAAGAGGGTATAAACAAAAAGAGGAGAATGAAGAGGAGCATTTTGTACATCTTAATGGGTTTTTTTTTAGTTTATGTTCATTTTGGGAATTTGGGTATGGAGATTGAGCAAACAAATATAGGATTTTTGGATAAGAATGGGTTTTGTTCGGTGAAAATATGGTTTGATTATTTGGAATTTTAGATTATAGAAGTGGGTTTGTTTGACTTGATTTGTATGTGGTCATGGAAAATTTTGAATGATCTGAGTAATCTAATATAATGTTGAGTTTTTTTTCTTTTTTGAGAGAACTAATTTGTGGAGGGTTGGCAAGAGTTTTATTTGTTGAGGCAGACGAGAAATGTAAGGTTTTTGTTTGATGATAGCTAATGAGTTGAAGTTCAGAAATGTAAGGTTTTATTTGTTGAGGGGGTTGCTGAAAAATTTCCATTGTTTATTCTTCAACTAAAACCACTAACTGGGTGTTTTTGATATTTTTAGATGACTCGTATATATTAGGCTAAATTACCAGATCAGTGTTCTAACTTGATCCTATCTTTCGATATGGTATTTATTTTTTCTCTGACGTCAATGCGATATTTTAACTTGCACCTCGATGATGATAAGGCTCTTTTTTGGCAAACTGTATTTTTTTAGGAAAATTTCTTCCACTGCCTGACCTTCGAATATTGTTAAATCAACACCCTCCTCATTTAACTCCTACAATTCAAATTCCTTCCCCCCCTTTACCCAATAAGATCCTACTCCTTTTTCCCTCTCATCAATGAAGCCCCCCCTCTCTCTCTTCAACCTCTCCAATTCAAACATAAACCCTAATCTAACCCCAACAGCTAATTACCCTAAATGCTCCTGATCATTGTCTCAAAAGATCTTTAAAAAATTGCTTCTTTAAAAACCATAAACCTAGTCACTCCCATGTGCTGTCCTTTTCACCTCTACTAGTGTGGGCAAATGACAACCCACATAGGACGAACAAACGATTTGTATCAACAAGGGCATACTGTCTTTCTATGGCATAAGCAGGGGATGAATGCGACGAGGAAGGAGGTTTTTCAGCCTGCTACAGAAACAAAAAAGCAACCTAAAGAGCTATATTATAATTTCAATTAGTAAGAGGCAACAAATGAAAAACACTGGAGCAGGTGAAACCTTTGTTGGGCCCAACATTGTGTTTTGCAACACCAAACTAAGCAGGACACTCTTAGCCTCTATTTATGTAGAACTAGTTAGGTGAGCACGTGCCAGCTTCATTCTAAAGGCCATATTTTTGAAGGGCTTTTGCATATGAACCCCCAAAACTATCATATTTACAAATTTACCTCGTAAATCTTGATATTTAAATTTATCTCTCAATTACTTAACATTTGGATAAAATGCACCCATTTAATATAAGAATATACCTAATATATTCTCCCTTTGCTGTTAGTATAGTATCTATAATTAAATAATGATTAAAATACCCTTGTATTGATTAATTAAGATTAACTATCCTTGCATTGGTTTTATAAGAATGACATAGATGGAGCAGATTAATAGAGTTATCCTTCTCACTCCACTGGCAAACTCTAAAGAGAAGCCGAAGATGAACATGCTTATTTTGGAATATTATCACTTCCTTGCTCTTCCCCTTCTCTATCATGCTCTTCTACACCTTGCTCATGCTCTTTTACAATTGCATCCAAACTCCCAACCTAATTTATTCCTCCTTCAATTGCAAATCTAAACTTCACCTTAGTCTCCACTGGCCTTTGCTTGTCCTTTGAAGACAACTATCAAATCCAAAATCAGTCTCCACCAAAACGCAATCTCAATCTCAATCCAAGTGACTTGACCTGAGGTGGGTGGGGATCAATCAGAGGAGGAGAGGTAGATGAATTTGTAGGTGAAGGATAACAAGAAGTTTGAGTTTGTGGTGAAAAGCTTTAAGGAGCTGGTCATGGCCATGGAGGCCAATACGAGGCCTTGCGTAATTTTGCCAATCCATGTGAAAAAATGTGGTAAATGCTAAATGCTGGTAGGAGGGTTTTGAGATTGAGTCTGTTTTGGAATATTGAATTACATGACGTGGATGAGTTTGGGTTGAGTAGGCGTAAAAAAGCACGGCTAGCATGAGACCAATTCATAAGCAGTTGATCTTTTTTTTTTTCTTTTTTTCTTCTTTTCTTCTTTTTGATTAATTGATCACTGGTAATAGACATCTTGCATCATCGTTTTAGTAATATTTTGTCAAACAAATTTTAGCGTTTATAATGCTGTAAAGCATAATCGAACTTGCAAATTGATGCAAAGGACTTAATGCAAATAAGATGACTACTAATATTCATCTCTTCATTAGTTATCTAAAATAGGTCCAAATGGAGATAATTCCTAAACCCACCAAAGCTTTTTTTTATCCCAAAATTAAATGGGAGGCAATATGTGAGGATATGCAATTCAACTTGTAGATTGAACCCCAACGCATTAACTTTCCTCGCATTATATTGGGAATTAGGTAACCAAACTTAGGATGGAGCTTTATTGGATTTTATGCCATTGAACTCTTGGCATATGTCTAATTTGAAATATGTCTCCAAAATATGGAATTATAAGGTACACCGAAAGGGTTCATATTGGTAATTTCTGTTAAAATATAACTCGGATCAGATTAATTATGCAATAAAGTTATTTTAACCTAGTGCTAAAATTAACCCTCATCGAGTTAACTCTTTCTGTTTCCTCGCTCTTGTTATCCTCTCTCAGACCTGTTTCCTCGCTCTTGTTATCCTCTCTCAGACCCGAACGTTATAGCCTTTTTGTCAAATTAATTGTCCAATAAAATTAATCCTTCCTCCTCTTCCTTTAATCCTTGATGCAAGAAATAGAATTAGGGATGGCAACTCGTGCAAGACACACTCTAATAAGATGTGTACCCGCACTTTCCATCTTTGTCTCTATATTGCAACATGCTTTTCTATACTCTCATCTCCAAAAAACTATTGCAAGCTCCTCAATCATCCTGCCTTGGGTCTCCCCTACCCCCTCCCACTCTTTCGGGTATAGGATACACCCAATAGCATAGGTATTAGTGTTCTCTATCTTTCTCATTCAACTCAACAAACATTTCCTTATTCTTACATTTGTACAGTGATATTACACATTATTCATACATCATGTTGAGAAATCTAAGTTCGTTTTATTTTTGAATGGTCTTTGATAATTTGGTTGGGCTAATAATTATGAGCATGTTAGATCATAAATGAGGCTAGTGATTGAGGGTTCAAAGATAAGCATGCAAATTGGTTTCTGTGCTTCCGTTACCTTTATGTAGAACTGTTTGATAACTGCTAGGTGATATCAGGTGTACGTATGTTTACGTAGGTGGAAACATTAGTTGCATAATAAATTTATATTAATTGACGGTAGATTGCTTTTTTTTGGATCCAGGATTTTTTTTTGCATGACATCTTTTAAAGGTTCGAATAGTATAAATAATTAAGAAAATGACTGACACCATACACGGATTTCATATATTTAAGAGTTGAAAACCAAAGTTTTCAGACTATCAGTCACTTGGTATTATGGACATACTCCGCTGGTATTAACACTGACTATTATGTAGCGACTTCGTCTTTATATGTTACTAGAGATTTTGTGAGTGATACACATTGTATTTTGTATATTTTCTTAAAATGTTATAGTTCATAGGTCAATGCAATTTATTGTCTCAGAAGATAAAGGATCACGTTGGATCAAGTCTTAGTGAAAAAAATTTACTCTATTGTAGATTTAGAGGAAAAAGTATATTTGGTGTTAATTGTCATAATGGATGACTTATATTGTCCCTCTCAGTCTTCATGTTCAAATTGTCTCTATAATAGTTAATCTACGCATAAGGTAGGATGGTCTACATTACAAATAGGCCGGTGACAATGGTTTAAAAAGCTCTTGCTCAGCCTTTCGAGGCTCCCGCCTAGGCTTAGGAGGTACCTTGGCCGCCTAGGCTCCACCCGCCCAAGTCTTGAGAGCGCTTAGGGAGTAGAGACCTCTTATCTAGACTGCATCATTAGGTCTTGGTTGTAATTTCGTCTGTTGTTGCCTCCACATCCTCTTACATCCTCTGAACTCCTCTGGCCTCCACCGACTACGAACACCTCCTCCAACTTATCTGACCATCAACAAAACTTCCTCCGCTACCACTTAAACAAAATAAGAAATCCTGCTAGGCATTAGGCGCCAGTTTGGCACCTAGTGGAGCTTTCAATAACGTTGATTGTAATTAAAAAAAAAGAAGAAAACACTCAGGCCTCGCCTAGGATCCTACCTAGGCGCTGGGTCCGACGCCTACGTCACCTAGCGCTTTTTGTAACCTTGGTTGGCGAGACAAGTAACTCTTGTTAAATTGTTGAAGATTAGAGGTAGAAGAAGTAACTTTTAACAGGGCAAACTATTGAATCTATGTTGGCAGTGACAAGGACATGCAGAAATTGATGTTGGAGCCGGATAGGGGGAAATTAAGCATACAATCAGAGCCTGCAGTGTATTAATGTAGATGATTGTTTACAAACCTTTGATAATGAGCAGATGAGAGAAGCAGTCACTATCATATAATTCCTGGTTTTGTTTCTTTTTTTGTGTCATGATTGTTCAGTTCAGTTTCCGTCCTCCAAAGAGAGCAGGCAATTGTTCAGTCAATGTTAGGCTTCTATTCAGTCGCCTGCAGGACATGTTAGAGGAATCACTCATTGACTATATTATATTTCGTTGATAATCAAAAGGTCTATTGGCATGTCATATGCTAAACACCATCATGATATCAGATAAAGATTGCTATTTCCATTATCCTTTCAATGTTGTGCTCAGCAAGGTCAATGAGGTCACTAATGTTTATCGTTGCTTCGTTAAATGATAATTCTTTCTCTTATGGTTATACTATGTTGATGCAGTTATTGAGGGAAATTACACATGAGAACATAGTCAAACTTGTGAATGTGCACATCAATCATACTGATATGTCCCTCTATCTGGCATTTGACTACGCCGAGCATGACTTGTATGTAAGTTCATCAAATTTGTTGCTTCTACCATTATGGATCTGTTATTATATTTTTGTCATTTGGAGAACATGTCTATTTTTTTCAGCTCATTAAAATATCATTCATATTACCACAGATACTTAACGCATATTATATTTTTTGATATTAATTTTTACTACTTATTTGCTTGTCGTTAATGTTTGCTTGTTGTGATAGTGTTTTAAACTTTACTTGAAATTTTATTGGAGAATTTCTAGCCATGAAGTTTGGTGGCTGAATGGTTATCATTGCAATAAAGCCCTAACTGATGGTTTCTGCCAAACAAAATAATTTGTCATGAGGATCTCAGGTGCTTGAATAATCACATTACTGACCTGTGATGTGAGTGTTTTATTTTGTTGCGTACTTTTCTAAGTCAAGTGAGAGAGGATAGTGCCTAGTCTCCTTTGTTTTAAATGTTTTATTGATTAATGTCCAACCAAATAAAGACCAAATAAACAAGTACTAAAATCACTTCCCTTAGATAAGAATATGGGTGGCCACCAGTTACATTGTTGGGATCTTGTGCATTCTACATGTTCAGTAATCTTTTAACAACATCTGCTCGCATTTGCTTATTGTATTATATGACCTCTTCATATCGGAAAGGCAATGGTTTTCCCCCCTATCTGCAACCATGAAATCAATTTCAATTCCGATTCTTTTATCTTTTTGTACCCAGGCATCCAAATCTCCTACCAAGTTTGCTTCAAGCAGCCAATTGGAAACTAGGATTCTTTAAAGGAATATTTGTTTTAGTATTAAGCAAATAAAATCCTTAATAGTTAATTGCATGTGAGGTCCTTCTTATGAGAAGAAACTAAAAATAAAAAATAAATTGGGATGTGGCGTTGACCTTATCCAAAATAAGTAACAAAGGTGGTAGTAAATAGTTTATCAGAATATGCGTTTGACATTTTTCATGCACCCTGTTTGATTTCCTGTTTCAAGAAAAAAACCCTTGAATAAGATACTTGTTGAATATCCTTAGAAGTTTTGATTGAAGAGTTTCCTATTGAACATTATTTAATTTTTGTAATGTGGGATCTTTCATTTTACATTTTGGAATTGTCTTATTTCAACTGTGGGTTTTGCGAACAACAATCTTTGCAGCAAATACTTTGAATAAATATATCTTAGAGAATTGATATAGAAGGCTTGATGGAAAATATCTTGATCTACACATTAAATGAAGTATTCAGAACACTTTTTTAAATTGTTATGAGCTGGACTAGGCATTATTTGTTTGATTTCACCATGATATTTCTATATTTGACCTTATGTTAGTAAAGGATATGGTGTAGTGATATTTAGATGTTTCAATTGTCTAGTGAAGAGGAACAAAATCATTTTTGCTTAAATGTCGAAGCACGATAATGCCTAAAGCCTTTTGGATGGAAGTGCTTATCGAGCTACAGACTATGCTGTGGCAATAAGATAAGTCTTTCTTGGGTATTATAAAGCATCAGGAGTCAGGATACATCAAACAGCACATGACATTTTGCTTGTGAAGTTAGCATGATGCTATATGCCTGGGAGCTTTATCATGCCGTGGATGCAACGCTTGAGTAGTGGGCCCATCTTTTAGAGCAGGCTGCTTGCATTTGCTTCCTAGGAAGTAAATTATGGCAGGTGATAAAGAACTAGCTTACATTTGACTTTTCTCAGAGGCTGGCAGTAACATTTTGCATCAGTATTACTTGCTATACATTACATGATACATTATACATACCTGATACATAGTTTTGGAACTTTGTGAATATAGTTCGGTGATACAGTCTTATTTTACTTTCTTGTCCATCAACTTTCTCATTGCAGGAAATTATCAGACATCACAGGGAAAAGCTTAACCATCCAATCAGCCAGTACACTGTAAAATCACTGCTCTGGCAACTGCTCAATGGTCTTAATTATCTTCATAGGTAAGATTTACATAGAGAATGGCAAAATGGTTAGTACACTTGTCAAATTCGTCCTCCATTGTTGCTTAGCATCTCCATTTACTGTGCGTATGGTGTTTATACCCTCCTTTGTTGGGATTATATGACTTATCTAAATATATTTTTCTGCAGTAATTGGATTATACACAGAGATCTTAAGCCATCAAACATACTGGTATGTTTATGGATAATTACGAGTAAAATTTTAGAATAGGCAGACATAATATTCAGACAAATTCTTAATGTCATTCATTGTTGGACTTTGATGTGAATCAGGTTATGGGTGAGGGGGAGGAACAGGGGATTGTGAAAATTGGTGACTTTGGACTTGCAAGAATTTATCAAGCTCCTTTGAAGCCTTTATGTGATAATGGAGTAAACACTTTACTTCCATCACGTGTCAAAATAGTAGTCATTCATTTTCTGTTTCTTTAATTATGTCAAATTGATTTAATTGTTATTTATTAATATTTTTCTGTAGTCATTTTGACTGTTTCTTTTTTCCGTATATCTAGCCTTCATGCTTCCTTTTTCTTTCGAGTGCTACTACCATGACCGAAAATGGGACAAATTCATAGGATAGATGAGCTGGCATGCTGACATATCCACGGACTGTCCCATTATTAATGCTTCATTCAGCAACAAGGGTTTTTTGGATAAAAAAACACCATTTTCATCTCTTCCAAATCAAGGGGCAACTGAACGCATCTTTCTTTCAAATTCACAGAGTAATCAAGCTTTTTTCCCCATATTTCTTGATCTACAGACTACTACTCTTTCAAATTCATAACTTTAACATAAAGGATCACTGTTACCTGCTCCTTGCTATTGTAGATGCCATTATTACCCCTTTCAGTTGCAAAGACGGGCTCTTCTGCTTATCCAACCATACTCCATGGGCATGCCTTACTCGTCTGGACCTCTGGCCTCCGGACCAGGGGTGCACAAAAGTATCCGTATTTGAAAAAATATCTGTATCCGTATTTATTAAGATGCGGATATGGTTACTAAAATCTATATCCAGGAATATGATTACGGATATGGATATGTAGCGAAATATTCGGATTCATATCTGAAATATCCAAATATATGTTGGTCATATAGTTGTAATAGTTTTAATCTCTTAGATTAATGGATATGAGATTAATTTTGATGATCAAGTGACCTAATATTGCTTTTTCACTGTCACCTGGGAATTTCATAACTGAAGCTGTACACATACTTGACACGCAACCATACCCAAACTCCTCGGAGACTCCTTACATATGTGAATATGTTTATTTGGGCATGTACTCACTCATGCAATATATGTTTTAAGTTATAAAGACTTTTCATAGACTCCTTACTCCTTGGACGCATATCCTACACATCCACTTCATAAGTCTCGTTAGACATAGTTGGGGTTCCAACTGTTGTGTTATATAGGATCGTTTGGGTGACTAGTTCAAAAATGATGGTTTTCCAATTTATAATGCACATTATAAAAGAAGTATAAAAATATTATAGGAATTTTAATTATCATAACATGTGAATGAAAAACTATTGATCTCATGTAAATTATTAGTTTCAATATATTTAATATAACTGTGTCCACGTACCCTATCTTTTACAAATTTGTCGTGTTCATACCCGTACAGACACCTATTTCCATGCAACTTAGTTTTTTCAGATATAACAAACATGTTAATGAACTCTTGTATCATATGAACTATATATTCTTTTTCAATATTATCTAGTTTGCTCACATTCATTTTGTATCTGAATGTATATCCACTTATATATCCGCATGTTTGTACGTATCCATATCCGATTTTGGCTGATATGGATATGAATTTCGTCACCGAGGCATATTTGTATTCGTATCTGTGATTGACAAGTGGATACAAATAGGATAAGTATCATATCCGAGCCTTGTCCGAACCGTATGCACCCCTACTTCAGATCCAAATCCAACAGCTGTGTTGGCCCAAGAATGACATCAGATGCTAGGGGTGGAGGAGGCGATCCATCCAAGATGTTGGTAATGGCATTGTTCGAGCGGGGAGGCGAGATTCTGGTCCTTCAACTCACATGCGGGTGAGAGAGAGGACAGTGAGGAGGATGAAGTGGAGTGAAGTGCAGACAACGATGAGAAGAACAAAGAAAATTACAAAAACGTTAATAATGAGATCTTGACTTAATGAACAACGAAAGGCCAAGGACAATGAAGAAGTAGAGTGAAGTACAACAATGAGAGGAACTAAGAAAATTTCAAAATCAATAGTATAAGCGAGTTTGATTTTTTTTAACCAAATGATATCCTGACATAAGTGAACAAATCCAATAAATAAACAAATCCAACAAACCCATTATTTTCTCCTTTTTAGTTGATGTTCTCCTGGATTGAGGTCTTCTCAATCCAACGATAATGTAAAAGAAACATAGACAGCTGTTATTCATAATTATCCTTCTTTCTCTTATTTACTTATCCAAGTAAGAAAATTAAAAAAAATATATAATTATGAGACCTTTTGGGTGTAGAAGCACTCTCTGCATTTAGTTTCTTTTCATTCTCCGGTGCGACACATTTTGATGTTCATACAAATCTACGGTAAACTATGGTCTTAACATCTATATCATTACGGAAAATTAATAGAGTTTTGCAAATTAAAAATGCAGAGCAGTGATGCCTCTTTCAAGGATGATTTTAGGTAAAGGGAAATACATTAAGCACAACTAACAATAACGTTTCGGTGATATAATAGACATGGATGGAAGAGAAGACAGAACACTTGGAGCTTAGTCTATTGAATCTACATGCGGTGCTGTACTGGAAAAATGCGTAGGAGAGGGTTGGGATGGGGGATAACAACAGTAGATGCAATATTGATTAATCAAGAGTTGATTGAGTTAACTTAAAACTTTTTAGGGGGAATGATGCAATCCACCTGCTTGCTACTGAGCATATGAGATTGAAACCCGATAAGGTCAACTGGCTGCAGCATATAATGATTTTCTAGTAGTGTTTTCTATTAAAAAAAGTTCCTAATTAATGGTCTGTGTTCTTGTTGTCTAGATGTGTCAGTCCAAGGTTATAATTGCATCTTGTTTCTAAACTTGTTTGTGGATAATCTATACATCTTTCTTGAACAAGCTCAAACTACGATGTCTAGTTTATCATAGTGTGGTACAAAATTAACTCTTGTAAAGTGTTACTGACTAATAATGGAGTAAATATGCTATTTCAACTAGCATTACGACCAGATTAAATATGTCCTTAGAAGATGATGTTATGAAGAAAGGACCCTGATCATTAATATTCAGTTGATTTCGACATGGACTATGTTTGCATGTTCATGTAACTGTGACCTCCATTCTTTTTCCAGTATATAGTAATAAATTTGGTAGTTCTACTCATTACAATGTCTTTTTCTCTTGGAGCTGATTTATCAAATCTCTGCTAAACAACAGGTTGTTGTAACTATATGGTATCGTGCTCCTGAGCTTCTACTTGGGGCTAAGCACTATACAAGCGCTGTTGGTATCCAGACACATCAAATACAGCAAAATTTAATATCTTTTCCTGCACCGCTGTGTGCTAATTTTTTGCTTTAAGTAGTAATTTTTGCAACGTTTTCCTTAAATTACTTATAGATATGTGGGCTGTTGGATGTATCTTTGCCGAGTTACTGACTCTAAAGCCATTGTTTCAAGGGGTGGAAGTCAAAGGTACAACTAACCTCTTTCAGGTATAAGTATAAATAGCTCCTAGGGCTCTGCATACTTCTACTTTTCTTTTTTGTTACCTTTTTATTTGTCCCTGATATGATCCCTAGCACTGTAGAAGGAAATGCCTTAAACACTCTTTAAGTGATGTCTCTTAATGGAAAGTAACTTACTTACACTTATTACCCGTAAATGTCACTTTATCATTCTCTATAAATATCAGTTTTTTTGGAAGCCTGTGCACCCCCTGTTCTAGAGCCTGTAGAATGATTCTGATGAGGGAACTCATGTTAGGTATACTTTTCTGATATGTTTTTCATCATGTTTTCAGCTTGATCAACTAGACAAGATATTCAAGGTATTAGGTAAGATGAAATTTCTTGATTTACATTTCTTAATGGTTGTCAATCTTTGCTATATACATCATTTACATGATACATACCATGTTTGAATAAATTGTTCCCAGGTCACCCTACTCCAGAAAAGTGGCCAACCCTAGTTAATCTTCCATATTGGCAAAATGATCAACAACATATTCAGGGGCACAGATAGTTCCCCCCCCCCCCCCTTCTTATCACTAACAAGGTCCGAAATACTGTTAAGTATTTACTGATCATAATTATTGTTGTGTGCAGTGACAATCCTGGTCTCCACAGTTATGTTCATTTGCCTCAGAAAAGTCCTGCATATGATCTCCTCGCAAAGATGCTTGAGTATGTGTTACCTTCTAATTATGTAGACTATCAAATTTAATATATTCCATGACAATCTTGCCATTCAGTACTTCTGTTTCTGTAATTAAAAAAAAGTACTAAGTAAATAAATATATTTACTACCAAGGAATATTCTTCAAATACTCGTTTACAAATTCAGATCCAAAGAAATTCAGAGAAGGATATTTGACTTCAGAGTGGAATTCGATTATTTTAAACAAACGAATATGAGCACCTCAATGTTTGATCTGATTCGATCTCCGACCCTGCTTGTCTGTGTTGTCCAAACTCCAACCTTTTTAGTGGCATCTCAATCTGTGTTTTTCCTTCTCCCTTCCCAAATCCCACCCCTTAAAAGGCGATGGGCGTGATGTTGATCAAATGCCTAACAAACAATCGG